GATATTAAGCCTCTGCACAATTCCTAACCCTGCAGCTGCTCTTATTTGGAACCATTTCATTGTACTTATGTGAGCCCTGATGACATAGTTGTTAAGAGCTCGGCTGCTAACCAAAAGGTTGACAGTTCAAATCCACCAGCTGCTCCTTGGAAACCATATGGGGCAGTTCTACTCTGTCGTATAGGGTCACTATGAGTTAGAACCGACTCAACAGCACATAACAACAACATTTAAAAATCACAATTTAAATAAACAATAATTGGCACAGAAATAACTAGTGAAGATCAATTTTGGAGAAGGGGGAAATATAGTTTATTTAATTGTTTTAAACAGCTAGATGTATGCTTTTAAATTTAATAATACCCTGTGTAGCTTATCATCATAATATATTACTTCCTAAAAGTTGAGAGCTGTAAAATACATGTGAGATTGAAATGACTTCTTAACTCACAGTAGAAATATGTTTAATAGGTAGAGTATCAACATTTTTAAGTTCTTAAATTTGTAACCATATAAACAGCATAAAATATTTGTCATTAAGAAAAATGAAAGCCACAATAAATTTCTATTCTACAAGAATCAAATCATTTATTTTAATTACAATTTCTGACAAGTATAATTTCTACCTGCTTATATTACTACAAGAAAGAGTAAAACAATATCAAACTAATGGTTGTAGAAGAGATTTTAGGGACATTGTGATTAAATTCATCATTTAAAAAATCATAATACAGAGGTGGAGCCAATATGTCACCCTAAACAGACACATCATGCTATCTCTCTGTAGCAAAGATCTGAAAAACTAAGTAAAACAGATATAAATATCAATCCTGAAACCCTAAGCATCAAACGAAGGGATAAAGAACTAGATCAAACACTGAATGGAAGATGAAACTGAAGGAAAACAGAGAAAGAGAAGAGATGCAGAGTGGATGTCTTCTGCCAACTAACAGGGCAGTGTCACCATCTTGGAGCACAGCCAGCAATGACCTCGGACAGAAAGTAAGGGAAGGCAACTTCACAGAGCTCCCAACAGGAGAAAAAGCACACAGTAACCAGAGAAACACTCTTTCCCACCACTCACCCTTCTGCCCTGTACACCACCCCCACCTCTTCCCAACAGGCCATGCTATGCCAATCAGCTACAGAACTACCAGCCTGCCTTCACCCCAGGTCTGCCCCGCCCCCGCCTACTGGGTCCTACCGCACCACTTCTTTTACTAAAGGCCCTGGCACAGACAGCATCACTAGAGAATTCTACCAAATATTCAGAGAAGAGTTCACACCAGTACTGCTCAAATATTTCAGAGCATAGAAAAGGAAAGCATACTCCCGCATTCATTCTATGAAGCCAGCATAACCCTGATACCAAAACTAGGCAAAGATGCCACAAAAAAAGAAAATTACAGACCAGTATCTCTCATGAATACAGATGCAAAAATTCTCAACAAAATTCTAGCCAATAGAATTCAGCATCATAAAAAAAGAATACACCACAACCAAGTGGGATTCATACCAGATATACAAAGATAGTTCAACATTAGAAAATCAATCAGTGTAATCCACCACATAAATAGAACAGAAGAAAAGAATCACATGATCATCTCAATATGATGCAGAAAAGGCATTTGATAAAGCACAACACCATCTCCTGATGAAAACTCACAATAAAATAGGAATAGAAGGGAAATTGTTCACAATAATAAAGGGCATCTATACAAAACCAACAGCCAACATTATTCTCAATGCAGAGAGACTGAAAGCATTCCCCCTAGGAACAGGAACAAGACAAGGATACCCTTTATCACCACTCCTATTTAACATTGTGCTGGAAGTCCTAGGTGGAGCAATAAGGCAAGAGAAAGAAATAAAGGGCATCCAAATTGGTAAGGAAGAAGTTAAACTATCCCTATTCACAGATAATATGATCCTATACATAGAGAACCACAAAGACTCCACAAGAAAACTACTAGAACTAATAGAAAGATTCAGCAGAGTAGCAGGATATAAGATTAACACAGAAAAATCAGTTGGATTCCTATACGCCAACAAAGAGAACTTCGAAAAGGAAATCAGGAAACAGTGCCATTTATTATAAAGCCTAAGAAGACAAAATACTTAGTAATGAATCTAACCAGGGATGTGAAAGGCCTATACAAAGGAAACTACAAAACACCATTGTAAGAAACCAAAAGAGATCGACATAAATAGAAAAACGTACCATGCTCATGGATAGGAAGACTCAACATTGTGAAAATGTCAATCCTACCAGAAGAGATCTACAGATATAACTCAATCCCAATCCAAATACTAACTGCATTATTTAACAAGATGTAAAAACTAATCACCAACTTTATATGAAAAGGAAAGGGGCCCTGGATAAACAAAGCATTACTGGAGAAAAAGAACAAAGTAGGAAGCCTCAGACTACCTGGTCTCAGAACCTACTATACAGCCATGGTAATCAAAATAGCCTGGTACTGGAATAACGACAGACACATAGACCCATGGAACCCAGGTATAAATCCAGATTCAAGAACTCAGGTGTAAATCCATCCACCTATGGTCAGCTGATCTTTGACAAAGGACCAAAGTCCATTAAGTGGGAAAAGAAAGTCATTTTAACAAGTGGTGCTGGGAAAACTGGATGTCCATTTGTAAAAAAAAAAAAACGAAACTGGACCCACACCTCACACTACACACAAATACTAACTCAAAATGGATCAAAGACCTAAATATAAAACTTAGACTGATAAAGATCACGGAAGAAAAAATAGGACAACACTAGAGGCCCTAATACCTTGCATAAATTCAATACGAACCATAACTAACAATGCACAAACACAAGAAGATAAACTAGATAACTGGGAACTCCTAAAAATTAAATACCTACATTCATCAAAAGACTTCACCAAAAGAATAAAAAGAGAAAGTACAGGCTTGGAAAAAATTTTTGGCCCTGACATATCTGACAACAGTCTAATCTCTAAAATCTATAGAATACTTCAATTCATCAACAACAAAAAGACAAATAATCCAGTTAAAAAATGGGCAAAGGATACAAACAAACACTTCACCAAAGAAGACCTTCAGGCAGCTAGCAGACACATGAGGAAACGCTTGTGATCATTAGCCGTTAGAGAAATGCAAATTAAAACCACAATGAGATTCCATCTCACCCAGACAGTACTGGCACAAACCAAAAAAAAAAAAACAGAAAATAAATGTTGGGGAGGCTGTGGGAAGACTGGAATTCTTATGCACTCTTGGTAAGAGTGTAAAATGGTACAGTCACTATGGAAAACGACATGAAGCCTCTTTAAAAAAGCTAAAAATAGAAATACCATACTATCCAGCAATCCCACTCCTAAGAATATATCCTACAGACATAAGAGCCATCACAGGAATAGACAGCATATCCATGTTCATTGCAGTATTATTCACAATAGCAAAAAGATGGAAACAACCTAAGTGCCCATCAACAGATGAACAGATAAACAAATTATGGTACATACACACAATGGAATACTATGCAACAATAAAGAAGAATGATGAATCCATGAAACATCTCACAAGATACATGAGGGCATTATGCTGAGTGAAATAAGCCAATCACAAAAGGACAAATACTGTATGAGACCACTATTATAAAAACTCAAGAAAAGGTTTACGCACAGAAAAAAACAATCTTTGATGGTTACAAGGGAGGGGAGGAAAGGGGAACGAAAATCACTAACTAGATAGTAGACAAGTGTTAACTTTGGTGAAAGGAAAGACAACACACAATATAGGAGAAGTCAGTGCAGCTTAACCAAGGCAAAGCCATAGAAGCTTCCTAGACACATCCAAACACCTTGAGGGACTGAGCTACTGGGGCTGAGGGACCATGATCTCGGGGGCATCTAGGTCAATTGGCATATCATAGTTCATAAAGAAAATGTTTTATAGCCTACTTTGGTGAGTACCGTCTGGGGTCTTAAAAGCTTTCAAGCAGCCATCTAAAATACATCTGTTGGTCCCATCAACTTTGGAGCAAAAGAGAATGAAGAAAACCAAAGACACAAAAAAATATCAGTCTAAAGGACTTACGGACCACATGAACCACAGCCTCCACCAGCCTGAGCCCAGAAGAAATAGGTGGTGCCCAGCTATCACCACCGACTGCTCTCACAGGGATCACAATAGAGGGTTCTGGAGAGAAAAGGGAAAAAATGTAGAAGAAAATTCAAATTCACAAAAAAACACCAGACTTACTGATCTGACAGAGACTGGAGGAACCTCCAATACTAAGGTCTCCAGACACCCTGCTAACTCAGAAGTGAAGCCACTCCTCAAGCCCACTTTTCAGCCAAAGATTAAATAGGCCTCTAAAACAATAACACACATGAGGAATGTGCTTCTTAGTTCAATCAAGTAGATGAGACCAAAGCGCAACCCCTGCCCTAATGCAAAGTTAAGAAGGCAGGAAGGGACAGGAAACCTGAACAAATGGACATGGGGAACCCACGGTGGAAAGGAAAAGGGGGAGAGTGCTGACAACATCGTGGGGATTGCAACCAATGTCACAAAACAATTTGTGTATAAATTTTGGAATGAGAAACAAATTTGTGCTGCAAACTTTCACCTAAAACACAATAAAAAAAGAATATTTAAGAAATAAAATATTAATGTTGGTTTATATTGACCAACATTATCTTTTATAATCTGAAAAAAATCACAAAACAAAAAGATTATATTAATTGAATTACCTAAGCTCAACATAGGTAGGTGGCAGTGGAGTGGAAACTAAGTCTAGTTACCTCTGAGTTAAGCTCTTTTATCCACATCACTATCAAGATGCCATCTCACCATGTTTCCTTCTCAATCACTTTATCATGGGAATATTATCTGAAGGAAATACAGCTAACAGCAAGTTTGTTTGTTTTTTAAGTCTCATAATATGTGCATCAGACAAGAAAGACTTGGTCATGCTAGTGGAACAAATGACACAAAATTCTCAGTGGCTTAAAACTCTGGAGTTTATTTCTTGTTCATGCTACGTGTTCATTACAGGTTGGCTGGGGAGCTTTGCTCCATGTCATCCTCAAGGTTCAGGTTGAGGGAGGCCCCATCTCTGAACTTCCATAATCACTACGGGAGGAAAAAGAAATGCCACAAGTTGTGCTTTATGCTTGTAACACGTGGCATTCCGCTCACATTTCACTGCCAAAGGAAGTCACATGATCACCCAACTTCTGGAGGGCAGGCAAGGGAAATCTTACCACGTGCCTAGAAGGAAAGCGAAATATTTGGTGAGCAGCAGTAATTATTATGTCTCAGTCATTCCTTTGAGCTTTGCGGGGGAAAGAGTCACTTCATTATACATTCACTGAAAAATGAATATTCATATACCTGTGAAAATGCTACCAGAAGGCAGAAGGCTAATGAAATTTGATTTGATTATACCTGGCTGCTTTATGAAATGTTCTGTATTACTAAACAGATTTTTAATGGATAACCTATAAAACAAACAAACAAAACTAGAATTTAAAACCAGATTTTTAAAATTCATTATGGCTTTAAGATTTAGTTTCTTCAAAAATACATTTGTTTATTTAATAGATAATGATACTTTTCATCTCAATTTAGTTTTACCCAATTTAGTAGTGAAGTTAGTGTAGCAAATTATGGTAGAGGTATTTTTTTTTCCATATTATTGCAAAACCTACATGGTTTGGGGGATGTAACTAGAGTAAGCATGAAGCACCCTGGGTGTATAGTAGGTTTAAAAGTCTGAGTTGGAAATATAAAACCTGTCACTAAAAAGATTAAATATTTTTAGGGGAAAGAAAGAAGCCAAAGAAATTGCTCCTTCATTGCTTAGAATGTCTGTGCTACATGAGTTCATTCAAACATTTATTTTTCTCAGGTGCTGGGCAGTCTATATAACGTTACTATATGAAAACATTCACCTGCACAAAGACTAATGGTATTATGACAATTTTAAGGTAGAATTTACCCAAAGGTCTTAAAAAGTCAACCAACTGGAGCTTTATTAGGGCAGGAGAAAGATTCAGTCAGAAACGTTTAAGTTTGAATTTAGGTTTTCTGTTTTTAGTTATGGGGCAAGTCATTGAACCTCTCTGTCCCTGTTTCCTTCTCTATAAACTGGGGATACTTTTGTCCATCTCACAGAACTCTTGAAGAGGTCATTCATTCACTCATTAAACCAAATATTTAATAAGCCTTCCCATGCGTCATGCACTTTGCTAGGTATTAGCGGTACAGTGAAGAACAAAGCAGGCGTGAGATAAATTGAATCCATAAAGCAACAGGAGGATCATATTTTGATAAAGAAGCAAATAATCAGGATAATGAGAGTGAGAGTTACTGTGGAGGCTCCCTTAGACAGGATGATCAGGTAAGGCTTCCCTGAGGGATGGAGGATAGAGATGAGCTGGCCAAGCAAGAGCCAGCTCTTTGTAACCTTGGAGTATGTCAGCAATTCTAAAGCATTCAAATAAAAACAAGTCTTACATTTGCATCCCTACAATTTAATTAATAGATGAACAGTCTTATTAACTTTTCACCAAAATAAATGACTTACCAATATACTCCTTTTAGTTAAAATAATATCCAGCCTCAGTTATTTTGATCTCATAGAGTGGTAGTCAAATTTCAGTCCGAGCTGAACAAATATCTTGCTTACAAAAGTTCTCAGATTGTTGCCCCTTGAGGTGTTTGTACATTTAATGTGTCTCGTTAATTTTACTGAAAAATTGCTCTGAGGAAAACAGACGGTCACAAACCATCCAAATAAAATCATCTTTAAAAGATGCAATAGCAAAGTTCTACCACTAAGCTCAGTGTAACACTTTAAGTACTCCTGTCGAGGACCAGGCAATAGACTCCTGGCTCAACGTACATAAAATTCAAACTTATGAAGACAAACATTGTATCAAAGGCAAGAAATAGCCCAAGCCCTGTGTTAGTTTACCTATTAAAGCAGTGTTCTAAGTCCTTGTCAAAGAGAATACTCCATCACCTTCGACGAGGAAAGCTCTGTGAACAGTGGGCATTTCTATACTCCATTTTACCATCACTTTACAAAGAAGATACAGCAGACCAGACTGAAATACTCAAGTGTCCATCATTAAATGCTGACTCTTTCCTTAGTCACAGATAATTGAGATAAAAAAATGAAACCTAAAAAAAGCACTGTAATGCTAAGCCAATTCCTATTTTTAAAGTTAAAAAAAAAAAGTTTTTTTTCTTTTAAAGTTTCCCAGAAAACTATTGTTCAGAGATCCTGCCTGCATTCATCTTGACCAGTATAAATAAAGTTGATGGTGGCAACATATTCTTAGGTTTAAAACAAAAAACAAAAAACTCTATTTAAGCCATCACTGTACCATTTAATTTAGTATTAAATTATATATACTGTAAGTCTATTCTTTTCAAATTTATCTTATTTAGTAATGCCCTCAGATTAATCTCATTTCGTCTTCTTTGTTCCACCTTTGAAAGTAAAAACTTAACATCATTCCTTCACAATGTGAAAAGTGGTTCTGGAGGGGGAATGGGAAAGAGTAAGAATAAAAGAATAATTTAGAAGATTTTCTATCACGTAATCCTTGCATAATCCACTGATTATCTGCTTAGTTTTGCTTTTCTTTTATTTTCCACAACTTCCTAGAAATTATATTTACTTCCACTTTAAACTTTTTCAGATTTTTTTAGGTTTTTTCACAGTGGATCCTTCTGGTTCCAAGTGGTGACAACAGTAGAAGCCTGCTTCTGCTAATTTCAGCTATTTCTTGGCATTTGTCTAGAAGCTTAAAAGGAAACAGGCTTCCTTTCAGTCCAATCTACTGCAGCTACAGAATTATACACTAACATGTCAAAATAATGATTCCGAGGCACTGTGAAATCCTAAGATGCCTTCCAAATCATCCAAGAAAGATGTAAGTTTTTTTAGCAAGTATATTTTTGTAGGCTCATAGTACATTGAAAATTGAAAATCAATATGTGGCATGTATGGTTGAGCAGAATATTAAAAAATAGTATTGTGACATTCTCCAACTATTCAAGAGACAGCAGTATTTTCCACATATGATCATTAGATCTCAGCTTTCAAAAGTGGTAAGCAGTCCCTTGCAATTAGAACATAATGACTCAATGACAAGCATCTACACAAAACCAGCAATAACTGGCAGATTTCTCCTGTGGAAAGCAGAATCTCCTTTGCTGGTAAAGCTTTTGGATACTTTCTAATATATGATATGAAAGTTTTTGCATTATCATTTTTAAGTAAAATATTTGTTAATTTTTTTCATAATCTAAAGCCACCAGGCTGAAGGGACCTCCAGTGGAGATGATCTATGAAGGGCTTCAATCCTGTTGAAGCTGTGGGAGAACTTCTGCAAAGTTAGGTTTTGGGACAGTAGTAAAACTGAGGGGAGTGCAAATTGTTAATACACCCTGCTGCTACCCAGAGGCTCCTTAGAAGACAGGCCTAGAGATCTACTTCTAAAAAAACAGTCATTGAAAACCCTTTGGAGCACAGTTCTACTCTGACATACATGGGGTCACCATGAGTCAGCATCCACTAGAAGGCAAATGGTAATAAAACTGTTGTTGTATGCTGTCAAGTAGACGCTGACTCATAGTGACCCCATGTGATGGAGTAGAACTGCCCCATTGGGTTTCCTAAGCTGTAGTCTTTATGGGAGCAGATTTCCAGGTCTTTTTTCCCATGGAGCCGCTGGTGGGTTTACCAACCTTTCAGTTAACAGCCAAGCTCTTAACCATTGTGCAACCAAGGCTCCATTGTAGTGAAACTAAAACCAAACCAAATCTGTTGGAGTAAATTCTGATTCAAGTTCTTAAAAGACTCTAGATTCTCTTTTTCCGTAGTATGGACAATCTTTCATTACACATATGCAGAGGTTTTGACATGTGTGGAAACCACTTTTGGGCTATTTGACATTTGTTAACTATATTTAAAATGTCTATGTAATCAAAAGATTCATTAATCCCTAAAATCTAAATGAAAATAATCTCAGATTTTTCTGTTCTTCTTTGGGTTTCTGCTACCCTTTAATTTTGGAGCCAATTTTTTCAGTTTGAGAAGCCCTGGTGGTACAGTGGTTAAAGGTCAGCTGCTAACCAAAAGGTCAGCAGTTTGAACCCACCAGCCACTACTTGGAAACCCTATGGGGCAGTTCTACTCTGTCCTATAAGGGCACTATGAGTCGAAATGGACTGGACAGCAACAGTTTGTTTTTGTTTTTAATTGTGATTTAGGTGAAAGTTTACAGAGCAAATTAGCCTCTCATTAAGCAGTTAATACACAAATGTTTTGTGACATTGGTTGCCAACCTCACGATGTTGACAGCAATGGGTTTTTCAGTTTGAAAGGTGAAAAGACTAAAGAACCTAGCCAGATTACAGCTTCAAAAAAATAAACGAAATGGAGAAGATAAGGCTATCTTGAGGCAGTACAGTAATAAAGAGCTTTTCCACTGAAATATACAATTTCTTTCATAAAATTGTTAAAGACAGATGGTAGAAGGAAAAAAAGATAAGGATGATGTTGTCTGCCCATTTTTTCCTAAGAAAAGCGATAGAGATTTTTCAAGTACAATAGGAATAATCTACTTTATCTCCATACATGATTCTTATTTTAGACTAGTAGGAAATGACTTTCTATTCCTATGAAAACCAGACACCAGAGACTGGAGCTAGAGGTGTGAGCAGAGATGGGGCAGAAAGAGTACATGCATAGAATCAGCCTGGGTTTGAATCCACTCTCCACAAATTACCAGCTGAGTGACTGTGATAAAGTCACTAACCTCTCAGGTTCTGTTTTTCCCCATCTGTAAAATAACACATACCCCACAGGGTTGTTATTAGAATCAGATAAAAAAAATGTGTGTCAAAGTACCTGGCATATAACAGGTTTTTGTAATGAAATGTGAAAATTATTGAACAATATCATTAATACCATATGCAAGCAAAATTTTGCTGAAAATGATTCAAAAACAGTTGCAGCCGTACACTGACAGGGAACTGCAGAAATTCAAGCCAGATTCAGAAGAGGAAGTGGAACAAGAGATATCGTTGCTGATGTGAGGTGAATCTTAGCCAAAAGCAGAGAATACCAGAAAGATGTTTACCTGTGATTTATTGACTAAGCAAAGCTGGTTGACTGTGTGGATCATAAAAATTATGGATAACATTGTGAAGAATGGACATTCCAGGACACTTAATTGTGCTCATGTGAACCTGTATATAGATCGAGAGGCAGCTGTTTGAACAGAACAAGGGGATACTGCATGGTTTAAAATCAGGAAAGGTGTATGTCAGGGTTGCATCCTTTCACCATACTTATTCAGTCTGCATGCTGAAGAAATAATTTGAGGAGCTGGACTACATAAAGAAAAACGTGGCATCAGGATTGGAGGAAGATGCATTAACAACTTGCGATATGTAGATGACACAACCTTCTTTGCTGAAAGTGAAGAGGACTTGAAGCGCTTACTGATGAAGATCAAAGACTACAGCCTTGAGTACGGGTTGCACCTCAACATAAAAAAACAAAAATCCTCGCAGGCAGAACAATAAGCAACATCATGATAAACGGAGAAAAGATGTCAGTTGTCAAGGATTTCATTTTACTTGGATCCACAATCAACACCCATGGAAGCAGCAGTCAAGAAATCAAATTATGTATTACACTGGGCAAATCTGCTGCAAAAGACCTCTTTAAAGTGTTAAAAAGCAAAGATACCGCTTTGAGGACTAAGGTACACCTGACCCAATCCATGATATTTTCAATCGCCTCATATGCATGCGAAAGCTGGACGATGAATAAGGAAGACCAAAGAGGAACTGACGCCTTTGAAGTATGGTGTTGGCGAAGAATATTGAATATACCATGGACTGCCAGGAGAACAAATAAATCTGTCTTGGAAGAAGTACAGCCAGAATGTTCCTTACAAGCAGAGATGGCGAGACTTTTCTCATGTACTTTGGACATGTTATGAGGAGGAACCAGTCCCTGGAGAAGGACATCATGCGTGGTAAAGTAGAGGGTCAGAGGAAGAGAGTAGGACCCTCAACGAGATGGTTTAACATAGTAGCTGCAACAATGAACTAAAAAATAACATGGATTGTGAAGATGGGCAGAACCAGGCAGTTTTTAGTTCTGTCGTGCATGAGGTTGCTATGAGTTGGAACCAACTCGCTGGCACCTAACAACAACAACAACAACAATAAATGTTCGTTGAATTAGAAAATAAACCTAGTTTCACATATTTCATATTTTGCCTTTAAACCAGCATCCGTGATTACATTTCCTGCATATTGGTTTTGTTGCCTGGCTGCTTAGACACTGTCGTGGACGTTATAACACAGGAGAAATCAACTTTGTTCACGATGGCTGCTGTGTCACACTCTAGAGCTAACACTCTGCACACCCTCATGTGAACAGAATGACACACTGATGTCCACAGCAGAATTCCAGCCAAGCATTTGATGAAGAATGTCATTCTCTGGGTAGGAAGGAACACGATCATAACCAGTGCCTCAAATGAAGCACAATGTTAAACAAAGACTCCTTAAAGAATTTTCTCAAGAATGCTTCTCTTTTCTTTCTTTTACAATTGACGTTTTTTAAATTGCAGCTGCTGGAAAGAGCTGCAAAATATCAAAAATTATTTCATTTAATAAAGCATTTTTTCTGCCCCTTTACAAAGTCAGCTTAATTTGTGGAAAGCTATTTATTACATAATTAACATTTTCTTAAAGTCCATTAACAATAAAGCATATCATTAATAAAATTTCATATTTCTTACCTTACCTAAAATAGGGTAACTAACTTTATTATGAAAACTTAAATACTTTTGGACGTAAAAGACGGCTTTATTAATAATTTTACTGTGACAGTAAAGCATACTTAGAAATGATCTTGGGAAAATCAGAACATAGGATCACCCTACCTTTCTGGAAAAGTTATCTGGCTTGGCCACTGATATTTAAAAGAAGACTGATTCACAAGGGTACTGAGGAAGGAAGTGAGATTGCTTAGATTCAGCAAGAGAATATCATGATACTTGTTCTCCCTGAAATGGAAGATTTATACGTAATTTCC